AACCCAAACCCTTCTGGGATTCCATCAGTTACCCCACCCCGTCGCAGGGGCAGCTCCCACCTGTGCACAGGCCTGTGGGCCCTGCCTGCCCCTCAGCCATGGCCTGCAGAGCCTCCTGCCTGTTCTTCTCCCCCCTCACATCAGGACAGAGGTAATGCTGGATGCTCCATACCCCCTGGAAGCGCCAGGGAAGCTGGCACCATGTCGGGTACCGCTGTACAACAGGGCTGGGTTTTAAAGGGAAAAAATACCCGTGCCTCTCTGTGCCTGGGTTTTGTGATGTGGAATAAAGGGTTATTCCTGGCCGTTAATTTTGATTTAATGATAAATAGTATGGTACTTCTCTTAACTTGGAGTTGATTAGCTTCTTAGTCTAAAACAAATGAGGGTTTTGCCTTCGGAGCTTCGGCCATAACTGAAGAGCCTTAGTGGTGTTTTTAAAGATGTGCATAAAATTTTGTGCTTATATAGGTACGTTGTCAACTGTGTTGTCAGTGATGCGCTATGATTTTTGCTCCTAGGTTTTTCACAAAGCGTTATTTTACAGGTTTTATAACGTTTGCGCTTCTGACTTTGGGAGAGAAGTTGTTCTGCGGAAATGTCAAAGATTGAGAAAATGAGTATCCTCGGAGTGAGGAGTTTTGGGGTAGAAGATAAGGACAAACAGATTATCACTTTCTTTAGTCCATTAACTATTTTGGTGGGACCAAATGGTGCAGGAAAAACGGTAAGATGTGCTTGGTTTTGCACTGTAAATAGCTCTGAAAGGCCTTGAAGTACAAATAATGAGCTCTACAGAAAGGTATTAATCATATGGCAAAGATCTTGTTGATCATGATAAGTATGGCGTTGTTTAGTGTTATTAGAGATCCGCTTTCCAACGTGGATTTTGCAGAGCATTGGTTGATATTTTTCATAGGAAGTTGATCCAGATGCTGATTAAAACTGATTTTGCGAAGTACTATATTCTCATGATGCTCAAAAATAAAATGTTATTTCTCTCTCCTCACGTATTTAACTCATTCGTAAATATTTGGGCTTTTACTGCTTTTTTGCCTGTAGTTCATCTTGTTTACCCTGAATTGCCATTATAACTATATACTTATTTCTGTTTTCTTAGACTATCATTGAATGTCTTAAATATATATCTACTGGTGACTTTCCTCCTGGCACCAAAGGAAGCTCATTTGTTCATGATCCGAAGGTAAAAGTCATAGTGACTAGATTTACTGTGTGTTTACTCCTAAGTGACATACTCAACTGCACTCAGGGTTGTGATTAAAACACGGATGCTCAAGTTCTAGGCAGACATGTGCTGATGATATTGTTTCAGGAAAAACAGAGAGCTGGGTGAGATTAGAACATTACCCTGGAAAGGCTCATATTCATTTGGGTGTCGAGTACAATTTCCCTTAACGTGTTTTTTTTTGTTTCTACTGAAGGTTGCCAATGAAACTGATGTTAGAGCTCAGGTTCGACTACAGTTTCGAGATGTAAATGGAGAGCTCGTAGCTGTCCAGCGATCCATGGTCTGTACCCAGAAAGGCAAGAAAACAGAATTTAAAACACTTGAAGGTATCATTACTAGAACTAAGTAAGTTGTCAAGGGTTTTTTTTCTCACTTTGACACGAAGATTGACTTGTGTTTTGCCTGGTTTTATGTATAAGACAAGAGAAAACTTCATCATGTATTCCTTGCAGTAGCTACCGGAGCTCTTAGATGAAAGCTATGTAGTTTCATCACTTTTTCTATTAGTTGATTCAAACCCCCTACATTTAATAGCCACAACTTTAAGAACTACTTGCATTTAGTTGAAAAATGTGTTAATAACTATACGGTTTGAACATAGCATTGTGTGGAGTATGTGGGCTTTACTTCCTCTAGCACCATTTTCAGTTTCAGATTATTGTTGGCCCATGTTTAACTCTGATACCCACTGTTTGAGAAATGTAGTGTCATTCAGGATCGGTTTTGCTCCTCCCTCTGGTGATTCTGCATAGCCTTAAAACCTGTAGTAGTCTCGACTGCAGACAGTGTTAAATGCATGTGCTGAGCATGGTAATTGTATGCTTACCAATTGTAACTCATTAAGCTTTTGAATCGGTATGTTACAATGAAATTATACTGTTCAAAATGCAGTTTACTTTTTCCAAAGAATTTGCTAGTAAGTGCTTCGTGGATTTTCTTTATCTGTGCTACATAGGCATGGTGAGAAGGTCAGCCTGAGTTCCAAGTGTGCAGAAATCGACCGAGAGATGATCAGTGCCCTTGGTGTTTCCAAATCGGTGATTAACAACGTCATTTTCTGCCACCAAGAAGAATCCAACTGGCCGTTAAGTGAAGGGAAGGCCCTGAAACAAAAGTTTGATGAGATCTTTTCAGCAACAAGGTTTTTCTCTTTACTGTAATTCAATAAAAACTAAGTAAGAAATGTCTTCTCTAATGGTGTGGGTGTTAATAAACATGTGTATGGCAGTTTCATACCTCCATGTTGCTATATTGCTAATAGGGCTGATTTTGGTTTTTTTAAGGTATATTAAAGCACTCGAAACTCTCCGTCAGGTACGACTGGAACAAAGCCTGGAAGTAAGACAGTGTCAGGCAGAACTGAAACACCTAAAGCAGAATAAAGAAAAAGCACAGGAAATCCAGGATCACCTTAGCAATAGAGAGGCTCAACTGGCTGCTTCTAAGGAGAATGTAAAATCTATTGAGAATCAACTTCATCCTCTAAAGGTAATTTGCATGACAGTAATGTTAAGACTTCAGTACAAAACAAGTACTAAAAAATGCAGAAAGGCGTGAAGTGGGCGAATTCCTTGATTAAAACATTACACTTTCATGTCGTGTTATCTACTCGCTTGCTCTGAAGCAGAATCAAGCATGCGTCAACAAACCGGACAGATACTAGCCTAATCTGTAACCAGTCATTGGACTTTAAAGACATAGTTTGTGAAATTCTTGTAGCAGTATTGGGGGTTTTGTAGCTTAATTTAAAATCTCTCAAGTTTGGCAGGTAACTGAAACTATTATAAACTGTAACTAAACAAAAAACTAAACTGAAAGTTAAAAACTCCTGTTTTTTAAAAAATACTTTATAAAACTGCGGGTTTTATACTTGGGCTAACTTTATTGTGTAGAACAGTTGATTATGGGTTTCATAAGCTGGTGAGGTATTGTACTTTGAGCGTTCTTTCCTTTGCAGAGCTCTCTGGAAGCAGTTGAACAGAGTCTCGTAAAAGTAATGAGGCTGGACAATGAGGTGAAAGCCCTGGAGAGCAGGAGGAGGCAGATGGAGAAAGATAATCAAGATTTGCAACAGAAGATGGAAAAGGTTGGCTTTTAAATTCCATGCTGCCATCCTTATTGCTGAAGAATCAGTCTGTCTTTTGCTACCCAGTGAACTCAGTATAGATTTTGTTATGTTGGTGATGAACACTTTCGTAGCCCATGTAGCTCGCTTGATGTTATCAGATACTGCAAATATGGCTCAGTAAAGCTATATTAGTTTCTGCAGTTTGGGTTAAATTGCTTTTTGTACCTTTTCCCTCCACCATAGGCAAGTTTTCCAGGGCAGCAGACACTGACAAAAGTTTGCATAAAAGCAGTAATTACTGGTAACTATGCCCTGCGGTGTGTATCTTAAAACATCTTCCTCTCCCAGTATGTTGATGACCCATATGAGATGGCTCTCTGGTGTTAATATTATTAATCTCCCTGGAGGTGTTTTTTTTAATTTCTTTCTCTTAAAATAAGAAATAATTCTCAGTATTCTGTTGTGATTGTGACAAGGCATTTAAAACTTTTGAAAAATAGAAAGAAATTCCGTAGGGGTAAAAATTCAGATTCGTTTGTTTTATCAGCCTAAGAAAAATAGATTTTCTTTTATCAGTTTTGCTTGCAGCACATTTAATTTTTCTTAACATACTGTCTTAATACATGTCTTAATATAGACATTCTGTGTGAGAGGTGTTTATGTCTTATTTATTAAATTCTGTTGTGGTAAAAACTTAGACTTTTTAAAAACATCTTTAATTGGCTTATCAATTTGGTTTAAAAAGCTAACTTTGTTTGTTTTATTTGGTGCACAGGTTTTTCAAGGAACCGATGAGCAACTAAGGGATAGATACCAGAACCACCAGAGAACGGTGAAAGAGAAGGAGAAGAGATTATCCGACTGTAAGCGTGAATTAGACAGAGCCACTAAAGAATGCCAGAGATTTAACAGTGAGAAATCAGAACTCCTTGTTGAACGAGGTATTTCAGACTTCATCTATAACCTTGTATCTGGTTTTTAGTGTAACTAAGATCTGAAGTGGAACTGCTGATGGGATTTGAAGGCATTTGAACTGGACAAGACCCCTGAAATGTGTATGGGTTTGGGGTCGGCCTGCACAGTATTGTATGAGACTTCTCTTAGTGTTTTTCTCCTGGAGTTTGTAATGGGCACCTGTTGTTGTGAGCTATAATTACAACAGGCAGTACCTTTGTTCTTAAATTGACCATTCTCTAGAAAAAGATTCCCAGTACTTGATGGTGGCATAGATCAGTGTCAGCCTGGCAGTTTACACCACAGTTGTTGCTGTCACAGCTTTCCTTAGGTTATGAAAATGCCAGCTAACCAGACGTGATTGTATAAGTGTGTTTTAGCCAAGACAGATGTGAAAGCTGAATGCTTGGCATGCTCAGTGTCTTGGGTGGAGGCTGGGAACTAGCCAGAGGGCTTCAGGCTAATATTCTTTGTATATCGTGTATTCTCGTAAGATAGACTATAGGAATTTCAATAAAGGTGTAGTAGTTGAGACACAAAATAGGTGCTTACATAAAATATGTTTGAGCTTTGTTATATTTATCAGAATCATATTGTTAGTGTTTTAACAGGCTTTCTTGTAATGCCTTGATTTATTCAGTGAATAAAAATGTAGTTATCTGAAACAGCAGACTCGAGCTACAGCTTGTTTTTACGCTGGAGCTTTTTGTGTTTAAAAATACTTCAGTCTCAGAGACTTCAAGAAAACAGTTGCAACTGACTTTGAACCCTCAGTGTATCTTCTGCCTCAGTTTTTGAGCATTCATGTCATGTTTTCCTTTTGTGAAGGTCGTCTTCAACTGCAAGCAGATCGTCACCAGGAGCACATCACAACGAGGGATTCGTTAATTCAGTCCTTGGCAGTGCAGCTGGAATTAGATGGTTTTGAGCGAGCACCTTTTAATGAAAGGCACATTGCCAATTTTCACAGCTTGTTGAAGGAGAGACAGGAACGAGATACAGAAGCTGCAAATCACTTGATGGTAAGAATTCAGTTGGTTTAGTGCAGTTAGAATTGGTTATTAGTGTGTTATTGGTCCATATGTGTCTCTGTAGTGCTGGGAGGAAGAGGAAGAGTGTTGAGGGGGGAATTGAAGCTATTTGTTTTCTTCTAGAATTCTTTTTTATGGGTTTCCTGAATCTTTCCATCGAAATGAGTTTTGGAACGAGGAGTGATCATCAAGTGATCTGAATTGCTGAAGCTATTGAACAGGCAGTTCTTCAGATGGGTTTTTCTCAGCAGGCCTCTCCTGCAGTCTGAAAAGCCTGAGGAAGAATTACAGTAGGCAGATGGTTTAAAGATAAGGAACTCTTCTTGAAGTCATCTTCAAAACGGAGTTGCTGTAACAGAACACCACCAGTGTGATGTATCTGCATTTTCCTATCAAAACACTTCAGTAGAAAAATGTTGGTAAATTCTAGTTATCTAAGTATTTCAGTGGTGAATATTTGCAAGCTTGTGTGAAGAAGTATTTTTAAATGTCGTTTTCTTGTGAAAAAAATAATGAGTATATTATTGCTGACTTCTTTCAGAGAGAATTTACACAAAAGGAAGCAATGAAACAAAAGCAGATAGATGAAATAAGAGACAAGAAAACTGGATTAGAAAGAACCGTTGACCTGAAATCAGACATTCAGAATAAGAAACAAGCTGAGCTGAAGAATGCAAAGTACGAATTGCAGCAGTTGGAGGGGTTTTCAGACAGAATTCTGGAGTTGGATCAGGAGATTTTCAAGACAGTAAGTTAATGTACTTGAAAAATTTATAGAAGTTTGAAGTAAAAACTTTAGGCTTGATCATTAAAAAAAAACAACAATGAAACAAAAACCCCCAAGATGTTTACTACATCTGCTGCATTTTGACCCTTTTAACACCCTCTCTATGCTTAGTGTGTTTAGATGGTGCATCCTTTGGGGCAGGGACTGTTCACTACTTTGTTTTTGTAAAGTGCATGTGTAGAATGTAAGGCTTCTGCTTGGTGAGTTAGAAATAGAGTAATAGCCACAGCTGGTGATACCCTAAGATTAGTCAGTCTTAAATTATTGGGCCAGAAAAATATAACCTAAAGTGCTACACTGCCTACGTTTTTCCAGATAACTCATCTGTGATTTGAGCTAGTTGGTTATACATGTTTTGTCTGATGAATTAGAAGGTTACACGCATTTTATGTCCCAGTTGAACAGCTGGTTATGCCTTTGTAGCCAAATATTTTATGTTTGTTAGCGATGTATGAATTCAGTGCTTGACAGTGTTTCTTCTAGCTTCTTCACTAGGATAATTCCAAATTTAATGTACGGTAGATGCTAAAATATAGAGAATCTAAATACATATGGTGGGTTCATCCTGGCTCAGACCAGGTGCCCACGACACCGCTCCAGTGCTCTTAGCTGGGCAGGGGAGAGAGAATGCGACCAAAGACTCGTGGGTGGAGATAAGGAGTAGGGAGGGATCACTCACCAGTTACCGTCACAGGGAAAACAGACTTGACTTGGGGAAAATTAGTTTAATTTATTGCCAATTGAATGAGAGTAGGATAATGAGAGAGAAAACCAGATCTTAACCCCTTCCCCCCACCCCTCCCTTCTCACTGGGCTCAGCTTTGCTCCCCATTTCTCTACCTCCTCCCCCTGAGCGGTGCAGGGGGACCGGGAATGGGGGCTGGGGTCAGCCCATCACACACTGTCTCTGTCACTCCTTCCTCCGCAGGGCAGGGCCCTCACTCACCCTCTGCCCCTACTTCAGCCTGGGGTCCCTC